CTCACGTCCCAGACAGCGTCCGGTTGATCGTGATGCGAGCGCTCACGTCCCGGCGATCAACGACACTCTGCTACAGCGTCTGGTATCGATCGTGATGCGAGCGCTCACGTCCCAGGCAGCGTCCGGTTGATCGTGATGCGAGCGCTCACGTCCCGGCGCTTAAAGACAACTCTGCTACTAAAATTCACTGTGGTAGACCCGGCCGCTGCTACAAGCCTGCTCATCCTCTACTCATTACACCAGCAAAACGCCCACATCTTATCCACCAATAACCACCAGGACAGCAAGTTAAAAGCCAGAGACACCCACTTCCCGGCCTTCTGAAGGTTGCAAAGCCTCCGCCGCCCCACCTCCTCCTTCTCTCATCGAAGCGTGCTTGCCTACTGCCTCTGCCGTCACCAGTGCCTAGGCCCGGGGGGGATTATGCGCGCGAGCAAGCGCCGCACTCAACAGCATCTCTCCCGGGCCTAGGGCGCCAAACATACTCAATCAACAAACTTCTAACTGCATTTTCCCTCTTGGGTCTCTCCAAAGTGAATTGAATACACCACATTGCTCTGTTTGTGTCTGGGTGTTTTGTCTTTAGGATGCACTAATTTCTGTCTTAACGTGTTGAAAGGTTTGAAATACACAGGGATTTTGTGTTGCCTAAAGATTTGTTAGTATTAGATAGCAATATGGCCTACGTGCAGGACTGTACAAGGACTCTGATTATTTTGACTATGATGTGACTGTCTCTGTGTGACACGTACGTCTTTCGATGTGTGACGTGACAATGACTATATAAACTGTGTACTTCCTTTATTCTGTCTGAGAGAAAGAAACAATTGAAACCACTGGAACTTGAGAGAAACTTAAATAAACTTCCAGAGTTTGGCGCACCACGATCCGTCTCTGTCTGCTTCATCCCTGACAGATTTGGTGTGCGCCATTCTCTGGATTGTTTTGAGGGAGTTTTCTTTGTTTCTTTTTCTCGGCGTGGGAGAGCTGAGAGTATCGGGGGCCTGGGAGCGGTCCAGCAGGCTGGAGAGGCGACCGGCTCCGGGACTCTTTTTCGCTCTCTCACTATATTTTTTTTGTGTCCTGTTTTTTGGACTGAGCGTTTAAAATTGTTTCTTTCTCTCAGACAGAATAAAGGCAGTACACAGTTTATATAGTCATTGTCACGTCACACATGGAAAGACGTGTCACACAGAGACAGTCACATCAGAGTCAAAATAATCAGAGTCCTTGTACAGTCCTGCACGTAGGCCATATTGCTATCTAATACTAACAGATTCTTTTTAGTTTCTCTGAAACTCCCGCCACATACGGTAAGGACACCCCTCTCCTCCTACTTTCTTCTGTCTGTTGGACTGTGTCTCTGGCCTTTCTCGTCCTTTGGGCTTTAGTCAAAGACCACTTGGGGTAGCCACATCTGGAAAGTGCTCTCTGAACATGTTTGGTTTCTCTGTTCTTTCCCTCCGAGCTAGTGGGGACCTGGTGGGCTCTATATCTATAACCCATAGGTTATAGATTTATAACCTATGGGTGTGGCTAACCACACCCATAGGTTATAAATCTCTAACGCGTCCGAGAATTCATTCCCTGAAGAAGTCCGCTGGTTTGAAGACGAAACGTCGGGAAAACTTGCTAAGAAGTACAGATGATGGGTGAGAAACCTTCCTTTGCTATTTTCTTTGGAGTCATTAAATAAACCTTTTGGCATTAATAAAAGTGACTGAAGTTTATTTTGTGTGTGCAGTTCGTACAAAGCCGTATAATAAGCGGACCCCGACGAGCTTCCTCTGTGCTTATTTTCAGATAGTCACGAAGTTGAAAAAATCCCTCTCATCTTTCTTCAGGTGTGAGAATTGTATACATTCTGGATTAGGACAAACAATACTAATATGGATTGATGGGGTAAATGGTATAAAGAGAAAGTCTGTGCTAACTACATTCAGAAGAGCTCAGACGGACCTGATCCAGCGGTCCAGGTCCAGTCCCAGCTAAACGTAGCTAGGACTGGACCTGGATGCTCCACAGTTGGTCCAGCTTCACAGACGAAGTGTTTTGAACAAATACGAGTCCTTTTTAACATTTTCATGCGAGAAATTCTGCTGACCACAAGCACCCACCTCTTGCAGTTGTCATGAAGCTCTTCGCGAAAGTTCACTGTGGTAGACCCGGCCACTGCTGCCAGATCTACAAGCCTGCTCATCCTCTACCAGAGGTGGGACAAAGTCATTGTTTAGCAAGTCACAAGTCAGTCTCAATTCATTGCCCTCAAGTCCCGAGTCAAGTCACGAGTCAAGACAGGCAAGTCCCGAGTCGAGTCCAAGTCAAAGGCCAACAAATCTCAAGTCAGTCCCAAGTCCTACGGTTTGACTTTCGAGTCCTCTCGAGTCTTTTTGACCGCGATTTGTTTCTTGTTGGTCTCCACGTACTTTTGTAGGCAAACAAAATAATGTTAGGAATCATTTTGCTGGTGCATTCTCGTTGGTCTCTGACCCATGGACTAACAGTTTGTTCCATGTCGTTGGCTGCTGATAAATCAAAACTATCTACGTGATCTAATTGGATGTTTGTGCCAGATGCAGGCTCAGTTACACATGCACAGACCACACATAAAATCAGAGCAGTCCGTGTCAACATACTTTTTATCTTTGGGGTTTTTAATGGGAAGTAGCAAGTGCAGCATATATGAATATGAGTATTGGGCTAGGACCTGTATCTATATAATCAGTTTAATGTCCGTAGTGGTTATTGTTCCAAATGTCCTACTGTAGAATAGGGGTAGTATGAGGGGTCTAGGCTTTGGACCTGGGGCAGCTCGCCATCAACTGGACCAGCATTAGCAATATCTCATAATTACCAATATATCATTACATAATAAAATGTCTCATATAAATTAATTCAATCAGTCAAAGCACTGATTCTCATATCAATGCACCATAAACAATAGTGCAAATATTAATCTAGCTTAGTGCACATAATCAAAACAATCTAATGTATGCAAACTTTAGCAGGAGGAGCACAGCAAAAACATACTCATAATAATAGGCCTCGGCGCCCACACAGAAAAATATAAGAAAGAGCCAACAGAGCAGCGCAGGCTAGCGCTAGTTTGACTCACCAGTTCCTCTTTAAAACACGGCACACAGTGTGACAACTGCGTCGATTCAATTGTATGAGGCGCCTGTAGTGAAAGCATATCAATTACGGTTTGTAGAACAAAATATGACGTTAGGTCGCGATAAATACCTGCAGCTCGCTCATTTCCAGCTCCCCTAGACAACACACCCACCGGTGAATGCAGTCCGCTTGTTTAGGGAAGTGTTGCTGCGCGAACTGAGGGGAACTCACGTTCGAACTCTCTCGCGAGCGCTACAACTACCGCGAGGCTTTGTTTCTTCAGAGACGGCATAGATAGAAAGAGAGATGCGGAGAAAGGTAAAAATGGCCCGGGTTACGCAAGTCTTTACAAGTCAATTGGCGCAAGTCCAAGTGAAAGTCAGAGTCATTGATGTTAAAGTCCAAGTCGAGTTGCAAGTCTTTTTATATTTGGTCAAGTCGAGTCTAAAGTCATCAAAATCATGACTCCAGTCTGACTCGAGTCCAAGTCACATGACTCGAGTCCACACCTCTGTCCTCTACTCATTACACCAGCAAAACGCCCACATCTAATCCACCAATAACCACCAGGACAGCAAGTTAAAAGCCGGAGACGCCCACTTTTCCGGCCTTCTGAAGTTTGCAAGGTGCATGTCGCTAAACGCACCTGTTCGCAAATGCATGCGTTGTTCTGGAGGGGTCGCTTCTGCTCACGTGTTGCTCGTGCGCGTGGCCCGGCTGTCCTCAGTCTGGCTGCTCGTGGTCTGCTCCTCCTTCGCGTCCCTGCACCGGCTATGGTTCGCGTGTCTCCGCGGGGCCCCTCTGCAGGTTCTGTGCTGCTCGTTCCTCGTGGTCTGCTGCCGCGCGCAGACGGTCTGGCGGTGCCGTGCGTGTCCCTGCCTCCGATTGGCGGTGCCGCGTTGTCCCGTTGCTTTCCCAAGTCTCCTGGCATGTGAGTACAGTGAGTGTGCCGACCGCGGACGGATTAATCCCGGAGTCTAGGCTGCAGGTGTAGCACTTGTGGTCGGATAAATAAAAGTTCAGAGTGTTTAGGATTATCCTTATTTTTAATTGTGGTTTGCACTGAAACACAAGAGAGACGACATCACCACGCATTCCTCGTCTGAGCACACTTTTCAATTAGTTATACCACATAGAACGTTTTTTAGCTTTTGTATTCTGTTACAAATGAAATAAAAATATATTTAAACAGTTCTTGTTACCTGAAACACAAGAGAGACGACATCACCACGCATTCCTCGTCTGAGCACATTTTCAATTAGGACCTCCCAAGCCCCCCCCCAAGCTGTCTCAACCTGCCTGCGTGGGTCCCCTGAGTTTCTCCTGTCCAAAAATATGCTAATGTCCCTGTTATTACACATGAAAATTAAACAAAAAATAGGAGGTGGGTGTTATTACAGCGTTATTGTTATACGTGTTAATTATCATGAGTCCCACACACTCCCCTGCAAAATAAATGGCGTCCCGACATTACACAGTCTAGTTACAAGTATTGAACTCCAGAGTTGAAGCCATCGAAGTGGGAGTCAGTTCACGTTGAAAAGGTACCACATGTCCATTGACAGTTCTTTACATGGCATATCTCCCTCTTCAACCATGTATACAGCCAGACACCACAGGCCAAGTGATATCTAATAAATGCTCTGCTTTACAGGCCAGTACCTCCACTGAAAGATGATTCTTATACTCCTGGCTATGACTCATTGTACAAGCTGATAAGCTATTACCTAAAATATGCTCATATGTATTTTGCAACTGTGTTTTGTCCTAAAAGGTTCAAATGTGTGCATATGTGTGTGGTCTCTGTGCATACAGCGAAACTAATGAATACTAACTAGAACAAGTTAACAAAACAACTAACCAAAAACATGCTTTGAAGCCTACATTTACGTAAGAGAAGGCTGACCTAATGTGTTATAGGTAAAGGTCTTAGGTGGTTTTCTGAATCGAGAAGGATACTGTCTCAGGGTGGCTGGATCATCTGCTTCATCAGATGCGGCTGCTGGGCACTCGTCCACCACACAACCGTCCCCCGGCTCATCCTGCTCCATCGCCGCCTGCTCGACTCCTCTGACGTCATCGCTGCTCAGCTGACCTTCGGGTGCCCTTCCAGAGTGATGTTCCTCCTTGATGCTTGTGTCTCGATGTCTAGGGGTTTGTTGTGGATGGAACTCCTCTGCATTTGTTCTCCGTCGATGTTTTGCTGGAGCGGAACTTTCTATTGGCTCTGAGATGATGACTTGCCACTCAGCTTCACTGTCAGAGTCCTCTGTGTCTGAGGTTTTGTCCTCAGCTCTTCTCACACTTATCTTTCTCTGTACAGGTTTTGGTTTTTGTAACATGTCCTCTATGGGCAGATAGTCGCAAGGCAGCAGTAGGTTTCTGTGAATGACACGTGTCTTGCCTGGGCCTCTTTCCGGTTTAATCACATAAACAGGCGTATCAGACTTCTTTTCAACTACGACGTGAACCTTTTCCTCCCAGTAAGACCTGAGTTTTCCTGGGCCGCCTCGTTGAGAAAGGTTGCGGACCAGAACCCTGCTACCAAGTTGTAGCTCTGCACCATAAGCTTTCCTGTCGTAATAGTTCTTTGCTCTGGCCTGCCCCTTTACTGTCACTTTTGGATGCTATTCTGTAAGCTTCTAACATCCGCTTACGCCACTTGTCAGCATATTCACTATGGGACGTGCTTTCTTCTTCGTCACCACCAGGGGTCAGACCAAACATAATGTCAATCGGCAACTTTGGGCTCCTACCAAAAAGGAGATAATGTGGGGAAAACCCAGTTGCTTCGTGGCGCGTACAATTGTATGCGTGCACGACTTTGTCCAATGATTTTTTCCAGTCAATCTTAGCTTTGTCAGGGAGATTTCTTAGCATGGAGAGCAATGTTCGATTAAATCGTTCTACCTGGCCATTCCCAGCCGGGTGATATGGCGTTGTATGTGACCCCTGTATTCCACAATATTCCTTGAGTTTGTAAAACAGCTTGTTTTCAAACTCCCGGCCTTGATCGTGGTGCAATTTGCTAGGGAACCCAAACTTAAGAATATAATCTCCAAAAATCTTCTCGGCTGCTGTTGTGGCTGACTTGTTCTTGCAAGCATAGGCCTGGGCAAACCTTGTAAAATGGTCCATGACAACTAGTATATATTCATAGCCCCCTTTACTCTGCTCTAAGTGTAGGAAGTCTATTGAAACTAGTTCAAAGGGAAGAGTGGTCACTATGTTCATCAAAGGTGCTCTAGTGGGTCTGTTGGGTCGTTTGCGTTTGAGGCAACTACATACCTTAGTCACATAGTGGTCCACGTCCCTCTGCATGTGTGGCCAATAAAATCGCTCACGAATGAGAGTCAATGTTCGCTCTACCCCAAGATGACCCATTTCTTCATGTAGCTCTTTATACACAAGAGGATGGAAAACTTTGGGTAGGAGAAGTTGTGAGCCGGCAGCAGTTTTTCTGTAAACAAGTCCGTTATCATCAATGTACAGTTTTTTCTTTTCTTTCTGCATCACCATCAACTCCTTATGCTGACCATTTCCCTTGCTTAGAGGCCACTGTTTTGACTTGATGTAGTTTTTCACTTTACCAAAAATTGGATCTTCTTCTTGTGCTTTTATGAGGTCCTGCTCAGTGATAATGTCTACTGAGGAAGTCACACGTTCATTTAGTGCACAAGCAGTGGAGATGGTGACAGGACACATCCATGGAGCATGCTTTTGAAACTCTGCATGTATTGCTTGGGTGATAGTGGCAATAACATCTGGCTCTACCTCTTTGGAACATGTTGACATAAACTGGTCCATGTCCAGTGGCATTCGTGACAGCCCATCCGCATCCCCATTAACCCTACCTGGCCGATACTTTATGGTAAACTCAAAATCTGCAAGTTCGGCCACCCACCTATGCATTGTGGCATTGAGTTTAGCAGACGACAGTACATAGGTTAGAGGATTATTGTCAGTGTAAACGACAAACGATGGGGCATAATAGAGGTACTCTCTGAACCGTTCACAAATGGCCCATTTTAATGCTAAAAATTCCAATTTGCCTGAATGCAAATGATAATTTTTCTCAGGTGGGGTCAATGTCCGTGAGCCGTATCCAATGACAGCTAGTTTACTGTGCTGTCTCTGATAGAGTACTGCCCCTAGACCCTCTTGAGATGCATCACAGTGCAGCACAAACGGTTTCTCAAAATCAGGGTATCCTAGTATTGGTGGTTGCAGCAGGTGGTCTATGAGTTCACAAAGTACACTCTGATGCTGCTCAGTCCAGTTGATAGGATGACCTGAGGGCAACTGGTTGGTCTTGTTTTGTTTTCCTCCCGCTCTCTTCCCTATCCCTTTGTGGGAGGGAACCCTGGGAGTGCCCTCAGCTGACAACAGACTATACAATGGCCTGGCAATACGGGAGAAGTTTTGAATGTAGGGCCGATAATAGGAAATGAACCCTAGAATTCTCCTCAGTTCACCAATATTTGTGGGCTTCTTGTCTTTGAGAGCTTGCACGGGCGCCAGTTCACTTGAATCCATTGTGTATCCGTCTTGGGACACAATTTTCCCCAAGAATTTGACTTTGTTTTTGAAAACTTCACACTTTTTCGGTGTAAGTTTCACACCATGTTGCTTGTATCTGCGCAGCACTGCTCTCATGTCATGCAAATGTTCATCAAAGGACTTACTATGCAACAGGTTATCGTCCAAGTATGGTTGGCAAGTTTCATCTCTCAAACCTGCTAGACACTCCTCCATGCTGCGCTGGAACTCTGCAGGCGCTGAGGAGAGGCCGAAGGGAATCCTGATCCACTCATACAGACCCCACGGCGTTATGAAGGCGGTGAGTGGTCTGCTTTCCTCCTCCAGGAACCCTTGGTGGTAGGCCTTCCCCTGATCGAGCACAGAAAACCAGGCACTGCCACACAGACTGTTAAGAATGTCTTGCACACGGGGAATGGGATGTCTATCTGGTATGGATTTTAGATTTAACTGTCTATAATCAACACACAGCCGCAGTGTCCCATCCTTTTTGCGGACACATACTAGTGGTGAGGAATATGGAGAACGAGACTTTTGTATCCATCCCCTATTAAGGAGATCTTCTAAATATTCCTTCACTTCTTTGTGAAGTGGTTTGGGCACTGAAGTGTATGTGCGTGTAACAGGGGTGGTGTCTTTAAGCCTTATTTTCAGCCTTAGTGACGGAATCGAACCAACATCTTGTTCCCCTTTCGAAAAGGCTTCACACTCCTCTCTTAATACAGCACGTACCTTCTCCTGTTGCGCTGGTGACAGATGGTCGAGAGCCACTGCTGGATCCCATAGTTTGTTTTTGTCTTGTTTAGGGTTTGCAACAGCTTGTTGAGTCCTGGTGGCGGTGGCGGTGTCGCCGCTCTGCTGTGTCTGTAGGGGCTGTGCATTGGCTGGATAGATAGCTTTCACTGATTGGAGCTGGCCTAACACAGTGCGTGCAGTGAGAGTGATACTACGACTGCTCTCGTTGCTAACTGGGACAGATACTTTAGACCAGCCGCTCTTCTGCAGGTTTATTACTGCCTCCGTGAAAGTTAGTCCATCTGGCCACTTGGAGCTATCTACGGGTTCAAACAAAACATTTTGGTCTCCTGCCCAGGGATATCTACGAACACTACACTTCACCAGCTCAGTTTGTCCTGCGGGAATAGTTACTCTTGGTTGCCCTACTCTCACTATTCCCTCCCTCAAGTCAATATCACTTTTCTTTACCAGCTGAATAAATATTTCAGTCTTTTTACAATCAAGTGAAAAAGCTTCCTGTACTGCAGCTGATGTGAACTCTGGATATTGTTCCATTCCATTTTTGACTAACTGCTCGATTATATTGTAACCGATTATTGGTGGCTCCGCAACTCCTAGCTCATTTGAAATCAACACTGGCACTGTAAGTTCTTGGACACATTGATTTGTGGTATTGAGTCTGAACTTCAACTCAACCGACCCTGAGAAAGGAATGACCGTTTGGTTTGCTGCTTTACCAACAAGGGTCTCATCTTCCTCCAGCAGCTCTTGTAGGCTACGGGTCTCCATGTGCGGGAGGTAAGTACTACGCCAGCTCTCATTAATAATAGTCACCTGTGAACCAGTGTCCCATAAAGCTTTAGTTGGTACATCCTCAAAATAGCAGTCCACTAAACATTTCTTCCCTATGAGAGCGTGCAGCTTGGCATGACGATGTGAAGAACTGGCATTAGCATAAGTGGCACTCACCCCTTGGTGTCTGTTAGTGTTTTCAAGTTGAGCTTCAAGCAGTTTGATTCTTTCCAACAGAAGCTCTTGGACTTTACTCTCACTTTCAGGTGGTTTCTTTGACGTGTATGCTGCTGGCGCCACCTTGTGGGGTTTGACGTTGACCGTGCCTGGGTTGTGAGTGGCACCCCGACTTCCTCTGCAACCTCTTGAGAAGTGTCCTCCTAAACCACACTTGAAACAATGGTTACATTGATTACTCAGTCCACTTTCTTCACATGCTGCACAGGCTTTGCGTTGGGTGCGGTTTAAACTTGGAGCGTGCTGCCGTTGGCCTTGCAGGTTTTTCTTGATGTCAGCCACCTCCTCTCTTAGTAGGTGTACTACCTCTCATACAACTCAGTGTCTCGAGAGCTGGGTTGTGCTGGAGCTTTACGGGTCTTTGGTCTGACGGATTCAGTTTGGTTCTGCACTCTCATTTCAGAAACAGCTTTACTTTGAGGCATTTCTGCTGGTGCCTCAGCTTGTAGCTCATTTACTTTTGGAGCTCTGTTTATTGTGTGTTTGCGCTGTTTAGACTGTCGCTCACACTCTACACTTGCAGCTTCGTTCAATTTTTCAATGAGAATCTCATCAGTAACAGTATTATCATCTAAATATGGCTTTAGCTGAAACTTGATGTGATCACTAATCAGTCCTGTGCTCACTGATCTCAAAAACTTTCTTTGAATCATCTCTGGCTGGTATTGGTCTGAGCCTGATTCTTTAGAGGCAAGGAAAAGCCTTTCCTTGAGTTCTATGGCCCTAAACAGGAAGTTCTGGGGAGATTCGCGGCTATCTTGAGTAACATTCACCAGCTTGTGATATAAGTCCATAGAACTGTCTTCTTTAAAGTGACCCTTTAATATAGTCTTTAACTGAGATAATGCAAGGTCACTTTTAACTTCAAGCATGTCCCTTAAACTCAGACCTGGACTGATAGCTTTGACCACAGCCTCAACCACTTCATCTTCACTGTGCCCTTTAACTAACCCTCTTTCCATCTGGTGCATGAGATTTGTGAATGAGAGTTTATCCTTTTGTCCCCTTTCACCAATCTGGCCACTTATCTTGAATTCTCTCCTTATAGTGACTTCTTGGAGCCTATGGGTGGGCAAGCTGGGGTTTATAGGAGCAGCAGGCACATATTGTGGTGAAACTTGACTTACTATGTCACTTGGTCTCTGGGTGTCATTGATAGGTGGTTGAGTTGTTATGGACGTTCTTTCCAGATTTTCTGCTATTTCTGACGCATTTGTCTGAACTGGGCTTGCTTTGGTTAAGTTAAGCAACGTAGTCAAATACTGTGTAGCCACGTCTTCTTCTTCATTTTCAATAGCGTCGTCTATTGACTCCATTATTACTTTCACTACTGCTCGTCTGGTCGCTGCATTTTTGTAATCAACTTTAGCACGCACGCACACGTCTTTGAGCTCTTCCAGTTTCAGCATCCAGAGCTGCTGTGACACTTGCTCTGCGATCTCCTCGAGACTCATGTTGCCGTGTCGCGGGGCCGCGCCTCCTTCGCCAATGCGCGTGACAGACTGCAGGAGCGTGGAAGTTTCAGTGCGCCGCTTCGTCGGTCGGGAAAACACTCACAAACGCTTTATCCATCCCGGACGAGCCCCCAAAATATGTAGCACTTGTGGTCGGATAAATAAAAGTTCAGAGTGTTTAGGATTATCCTTATTTTTAATTGTGGTTTGCACTGAAACACAAGAGAGACGACATCACCACGCATTCCTCGTCTGAGCACACTTTTCAATTAGTTATACCACATAGAACGTTTTTTAGCTTTTGTATTCTGTTACAAATGAAATAAAAATATATTTAAACAGTTCTTGTTACCTGAAACACAAGAGAGACGACATCACCACGCATTCCTCGTCTGAGCACACTTTTCAATTAGGACCTCCCAAGCCCCCCCCCAAGCTGTCTCAACCTGCCTGCGTGGGTCCCCTGAGTTTCTCCTGTCCAAAAATATGCTAATGTCCCTGTTATTACACATGAAAATTAAACAAAAAATAGGAGGTGGGTGTTATTACAGCGTTATTGTTATACGTGTTAATTATCATGAGTCCCACACAGGCGGCTGGTTTTTGCCTTACGCACTTGACTGCAGGCTCCGTTTTCACACGTGTTTGAGCTAACTGAGGGGCAATGCATATTAAATGGCATCAATCTCTATTGTCTGAGGGATATAAGAGGAGCAATGTGCATAATTCAGATTCATGTTCTGCCACTTGCAGTAAAACCATGTTGGAAATATGTGCAAAGACTACCCCATTGTGCTCCAGATGGCACACACCAGAACTCTTGCCACGGCGCCATCTTTACAGCATTAATCTCATTACTCGCAGGTCACTATTGTTAAATGGATATATTTAAATTCGTCTATCTGCAGGAGGAAGGAGGGGCCATGCATTTAAATAGCTAGGTCACTAGTATTAAATTGGGTAACTAAACTGCAGTTGTTGCATTTTGAAAGTGCAGCAGAAAGAAAAAGGGCCCAATGTGAATCTGCAATGAGTGTGAAGTGGAGTTGGAGCTAATGAACGCGTGGAACAGTGATCGTTCATGCGTATCTGCCATAACCAAAGCAGCAAGATGGCTCCAGGGGACGTCTGTTATTCGCATGGGAATGTTTCGGATTTGGGTTGATTTATTTCCTCAGGCTCTTAAACAACCGTGGGCATGGTTCTCTGACCGCCGCTGCTGCGGTCCCTGCTGCCGTTCCTACTGATGCCTGATCCCGCTGCTGCCTGTTCCCGCTGCTGCCTGTTCCTGCTGCCGCTCCTGCTGCTGCCTGTCCCTGCTGCCTGCTCCTGCTGCTCCTACTACTACATGTGCCGCTGCTGCTGTTCCTGCCGCTGCCGCTCCGCTGGCTCCCAGGCTGCACCTGTCTCTACGGCTCGGCTCTTTCAGACACGTATGTAACCTGGCTCACGGAGACAAGCGGCGCACGCTGGCGTGACACGTCTGTTGTTCGTATGAATCTCATTGTGGTGCTACTGCTCCTGCTAATGCTGCTTCTGCTGCTTCATACTGCTACCGCTACTGCTGCTACTGCTGCCGCTAATGCTGCTATGGCTGCCGCTGCTGCCGCTGCTGCTTCATACTGCATCTGCTGCCGTGCTGCTGCTGCTTCTTTTACTTTGACACCTCTCTTCACTTCGCATCTCTTTTACTGAAACACTAAACAGCTTCAACAATATTCTACTGCGGTGGCTTTGATACAGGATTATTGCTGTTATTATCTACGGATGCTGCAACCGCTGCTGCTGCTGCTTCATACTGCTGCTACTGCTGCTGCTTCATACTGCTACTGCTGCTCCTGCTAATGCTGCTTCTGCTGCTTCATGCTGCTACCGTTACTGCTGCTACTGCTGCTTCATACTGCATCTGCTGCCGTGCTGCTGCTGCTTCATGTACTTTGACATCTCTCTCCACTTCGCATCTCTTTTACTGAAACACTAAACAGCTACAACAATATTCTACTGCTCTGGCTTTGATACAGGATTATTGCTGTTATTATCTACGGATGCTGCATCTGCTGCTGCTGCTACTGCTGCTGCTGCTTCATACTGCTACTGCTACTGCTGCTGCTTCATACGGCTACTGCTGCTACTACTGCTGCTGCTGCTTCATTTACTTTGCCATCTCTCTTCACTTGCATCTCTTTTACTGAAACACTGAACAGCTACAACAACATTCTACTGCTGTGGCTTTGATACAGAATTATTACTGTTATTTCTAAGGACGCTGCTGCTGCTGCTGCTACTGCTGCTGCCGCGGCTTGATACAGGACTATTGCTGTTATTATCTGAGGTTACTGCTGCTGCTGCTACTGCTGCAACCCACTCTCTCAGAAGCTTATCCTGCTTCTAATGGATGCAGCCCGGCTGAGTATGCCGCGCTGCGCTGGACTCGCACCTATGCTCCCAGGGTCGCTTCGGCGGTCATGCTTCATCTCTCTACTTAATCTTCTGATCTATCAGATGCAGCTGGCCAAGTAGCTGCGCTGAGCCGTCAATCGGACTCCTAATCAAAGGCATCCATACCTGTATTCTTCACTCTTCTGATCGCAGGCTCCCCATCACGCTGCCCATCCTGCAGCGGCGCTGAACTCCGGCTCATCTTCCAAGTACATGTCTGCCCTCCTCGCGGCATCTTCCTGCTCTCCTTCTATGGCTTCTCTGCATAAGCGTCTCACCATTGCTCACTCAACCTTCATGCGGTCCGAGACACGGCTTTCCCGACCATCCTACTATCCTGATTATCTACTCTCCAACCCAAGATTCTAAGCGTAAGGGCGCCTGCATCATCAATGGCCCTCTCCGATATGTCTCTGCCCCTACAGGTCTCCGCTTCTACACGGACGCTGCCCCTTCCGTGGGTTTTGGGGGATTCTTCCAGGACCATTGGTTTGCCGAGCGTGGCCGCTACTTTCCACCGGAGCACCTCCTCTGCCCTACACGAGATATTCCCAGTGGTCGTGGTCTGCGCGCTGTGGAATCACACGTGGCAGAGAAAGAGGATCTCTGTCATGTGTGATAATCTCGACGTAGTGGAAGCTTACACAAAGGTCGCTCTTTTCACCCAACATAATGTCCCCTGACCATTTCAACCTCCGTCTCAAACATTCAAAAATCAAAGAAGCCTGCAACATAATAGCTCGCTCGGACACATCTCTCTGCCCCTACAAATCCTTTATGCGTTACACTCGCCTCCGCTGCAAAAAGGAGATCTTAACGGACCTCTATTTCTCACTCCAGACATTCTTCCCATGACAGCAACCTGGTTCAGAGCTCAGCTAAGATCCCTACTGCTCCTCTGTAAATTGTCTCCCCAGCTCCATACAGCCCACTCTTTCCGGATAGGCGCTGCCACGCGCGCGGCCTCGCTGGGGCTCCCCCACACCTCTCTGCAACAGCTGGGGCGCTGGTCCTCTTCGGCTTTCTCCACCTACATCAGGCCAGACGCGTCCGCTATCCTGGCTGCACAACGGCTACTGGCTTCCTCGTAAGCTCCCAGCAAGCAATACAAAGCAAAGTAAGTGAACCAATAAGATTCTGGTGGCGGCACGCACTTCTTCAAAGATAACCTTGTTGCAGCGTCCGGTTGATCGTGATGCGAGCGCTCACGTCCCGGCGCTTAAAGATAACTCCACTGCAGCGTCTGGTACCGATCGTGATGCGAGCGCTCACGTCCCAGACAGCGTCCGGTTGATCGTGATGCGAGCGCTCACGTCCCGGCGCTCAAAGATAACTCTGCTACAGCGTCTGGTATCGATCGTGATGCGAGCGCTCAAGTCCCAGGCAGCGTCCGGTTGATCGTGAAGCGAGCGCTCACGTCCCGGCGCTTAAAGACAACTCTGCTACAGCGTCTGGTATCGATCGTGATGCGAGCGCTCACGTCCCAGGCAGCGTCCGGTTGATCGTGAAGCGAGCGCTCACGTCCCGGCGCGCAAAGATAACTCTGCCCGTTTTTGGGGATTATGCGCGCGAGCAAGCGCCGCACTCATCAGCATCTCTCCCGGGCCTAGGGCGCCAAACATACTCAATCAACAAACTTCTAACTGCATTTTCCCTCTTGGGTCTCTCCAAAGTGAAATGAAGCTCTTCGCGAAAGTTCACTGTGGTAGACCCGGCCACTGCTGCCAGATCTACAAGCCTGCTCATCCTCTACTCATTACACCAGCAAAACGCCCACATCTAATCCACCAATAACCACCAGGACAGCAAGTTAAAAGCCAGAGACACCCACTTCCCGGCCTTCTGAAGGTTGCAAAGCCTCCGCCGCCCCACCTCCTCCTTCTCTCATCGAAGCGTGCTTGCCTACTGCCTCTGCCGTCACCAGTGCCTAGGCCCCGGGGGGGGATTATGCGCGCGAGCAAGCGCCGCACTCATCAGCATCTCTCCCGGGCCTAGGGCGCCAAACATACTCAATCAACAAACTTCTAACTGCATTTTCCCTCTTGGGTCTCTCCAAAGTGAACTGGTCTGGTCCTGGTCTGGTTCGATGGTGTGGTTTAACGAACGGGTTGAATGTTACTACTTTAATATAGTCCTTTTCAGAGTATCTGAAATCGCTCCGACAAGCACCATAACTGCAGTGTTTTGTTGTCACCATGATTTAATAATTTAGCCCAAATAAATAAACACGCGTATGTGGAGAACACAGTAGTACTCAACGGAGTCGGACAGAGTTTGTCCGAAACATGCGCAGTCATCAGAGCTATTTTTAGCACATTTCGGAAACCGGACAGTGCCCTATAACCGCATACTCAAAAATATATATGAAATGTTTTATATAATGTTTATACTTTCACAACAATATAATGGAATTCCTACACACCTGAAGGTGCAGCAGCAGGGGAAGGACCAGCAGCAGAGGAAGAACCAGCAGCAGAGGACGGTCCAGGAGCCGAGGACGGTCCAGCACCAGCACCTGGCTCTGAGTCAGGCTCTGCATCAGCTTGTTCTGTTATTAAATA